GTCTTGCCGGGCACCGGCGTCGCGGGCCGCCCCTGACTTTCCCAGGAACAGCGATTTTCGCTGTAAACGAGCCAAAGCCTTCCTGGCTTAAAGCAGGGCCTGGCTGCGCTGGAGGACGCCCCTTCCTCTGTTCTCGTCCAGCCCCACTTCGAAATGGGGAGCTCGGCTGCCTAAGAGGCAAGCCGTCCATCGTTAATGCTAAGACAACGGGAGAAACCCCTTCAACTTGGGAAGGTCTTGGTGCTTCCCTTAGACCCTGTTTTCTGGGTTGATTTGTCGCTATCCACAAGCATGTTCATCCCGTTTCTATCAGCTGTGCAATTACAGTGCAGTACCGGAAATGTCTCTCTAGTGCCCGTTAAGTTCAGTGGAAGTTAAATCTAGAAGTATGCAGTATCTAGGACACCAACCTTTGCAGCCTATTTTAAGATCATTTTATATAATTCCTTCTCTGAGATATGAAGAGCCGAATTATCTCAAGATTTTGATTTTCTGCGGGGGTGGGTGTGCTCCTGAATGCCAAAATCATTTGTTTGCATCCTTGATAGGTGTTTTTAGTCTGTTGTTTTGCCTGGGAGGTGTATTAATGATCTCTAAATATCTGGTTCTGCAGCCTACTTGGTTTTGAAATAGGTTATAGGTATTTGGCAGGGATAGACTTGGTGTGTTTTACAGATTCTGCAACAGGGAGCTCTTTCACATAACTACTTAAGAGCAAAATTTTCAGGGCACGTGGACGGACTCAGGTATAATGTTCAGCACTGCACTTGGAAGAAAGTTGATATTAGTGAGGGTGGTGTCAAAGGAAGAGGCCGTTCACACAACTTTGCTAAATGTTGATTTGCAGTTTTTAAGAAACACTACAATCTAATAGATTGTAACAGGTAACAGCAGATATAGGTTGAAACTTTGGAGGAGGAATTGATTTCTGTTATCAGGAAGTCAAAGGAAATATGTTTCAAAGCATGATCTTTCTCTCAAGGCTGTTTTCACAGAGATTATGTGACTGAATAATATAGAAACTGCTCTTATCTGAGTTTTGGGCATCCTGTTTGTTGTCTCCTTATGAATGATAACGCATAATTTAACTTGCAGGTTTCCAGTTTGTCATTTGTGCCTTTACAGAACAGGACTGTATATTAATTGGTTGCTATAACGTTTTAGTTTTCCACTGGATAAAATCTGTATCCTTCCGGGGAATGTAATCTAAATCTTGTTACATTTTGCTTTCTTTTGTTTTGCAACTTAATTATATCAAGATGGTAAGACAAACAACCTTGAGTCCAAAACATGGATAAAAACTGGAATGATGATGAAATTAATGGATAACTATTTTCCCTGGGTTCATGCCTCACAGTAAGCTATGGTTAGCTTTAAACATGTTTTGTTGCAGTAGAAGAGTTCACTTACTGTATTAAGCCAAAAGGAAGCTAACCACATTATGAATTAATGTGATATGTGGATTCAATCTTGTCTATCACTTGCTTGAAGCCAGAAGCCACAGACTAATATATTTAATTGCTGGGTTGCTGCCAAATACATAAAATCAGCTTCCTCAACGTGATGCACTGAATTCAATCCTGTAATTTCCAGGCAGCAAGTTGGGGAAATCTGGCGTAGAATTTTGAGTAAGACTGCTGCTTACTAGAATTTAAGTATACTCTTAAGTATAAACTAATTTTCTTTAATAGGTTGGAAATAAAATGTTCATGCTGTCTCACTGACAGCTAAAAACATTGAGTTATTGAACTATAATATTCATTAGGCTTACCTTTCTTTTAATGCTATAGATAATTTTACATTAAAATCCTTTAATGTGAATTCTCAAAATCCTGTTTTAGAAGGCATTTATTTTGTTCTCAAAGAAGGAAAATTATTGTTGGTTGCACAGCCATATGTTTAGACTGGATGTGGCATTTTTATCCACCTATTGAGTCCTTCCCAAGGACCTGGGATAGGCAGTTGTTGTTTGATGGTGTTAAAGGTGTCGTCACAGGATATAAGCTGTTCCAAGTAAAGCTGCCTTTTGCAATTGACTGGTGGTGATTTTGTCA